AAATAATCCAACCTCCCCCCCCCCCCATTAACCCTTCCCCCCTTCCTCCCTTCGCCCCCCCCCCTTATCCAACCCTGAGGGAGAATCACTGAAAGAAAATTGCTGACTCATCGCGGGACCAGTGACCAGCTGGTGGGCCTGCCCCCCCTCCCCCTCCCCTCCCCCCTCCCCTCGCTTCTCCCCTTTCCTCTTGTTTCTCTCCTTTTTCTTATCTCTTCCTCCTCTTTCGTTTCTCCGCTTTTTCCCTCCCTACTTTTTTTTCTTCTTCCTTCTCCTTCTTCTTCCTCTGATCCTTCATTCTCGTCTCTTTCTCTGCTACTTCCTTCTTTTAATTCTTGTCTCCACCTCTTCCCCTTTCGTGGTCGTCTCTTCCCTCCTCCTTTTCTTCGCCAATTCTATTTCATTTCTCCTTTCTTTATCTTTCACTTTTGTCTATCTCATTTCGTTTTTGTCCCTTTTCGTGAATAAATAAGGAGATGATAACGATGACAGTGATAATAATAAGAATAATAGAAAAAATAATGATAAAAAATATATCATTACAACAACAACAATAATAATAATATTAATAATATAGCTACTACTCTACAACCAATAATATTAATGATGATAATAATAATAATAACAATAATAATAATGATAACAATAATAATAATAATAATAATAATAATAATAATAATAATAATAATAAAAATAACAATAGTGATAATAGTAATAACAACAAGAACAATAATGATGACGGTAATAAAAACAAGTGAAATAATGTAAAAAAAAATAATAATAAAAATATAAAAAAAACAAATGCAGTCTGGAAGCTTCGACGCGACGAAAGCCCAGACGTCTTCATAAATCCGTCAAGACAAGTGACACTTAATGACAAGACAATAGGATAACCATGACAGATATTCAATTGCCTTCCGAGACTCACACACACGGGTGGCTGCCAGGTGCATCGCCCATCTATTATAGTTTACCCTTGAACCTGAGCGAAAAGAAAACGCAGACGCACAGAAAACGGAGGCGCATTGTCTACTGATGACGCCTTTCTGAGAAATGAAATGACAGGACAAGATGACATGACAGAATGGCGATGCTGTTCTTGTCCTGAGGGAAAATGAGGAAAATGAGCAAGTGCATTGCCTTCCTATACGCTGAAAAATGAGCATAGTTGCAGGGGACGCGTTTCACTGAAAGATATTTACATGCGTGCATTTCTTTTACTTATTAGCTACCTTCTCTCTCTCTCTCTCTCTCTCTCTCTCTCTCACTTCCCCTCTCTCTCTCTCTCTCCCTTCCTCTCTCTCTCTCTCTCTCTCTCTCTCTCTCCCTTCCTCTCTCTCTCTCCTCTCTCTCTCTCTCTCTCACTTCCTCTCTCTCTCTCTCTCTCCCTTCCTCTCTCTCTCTCTCTCCCTTCCTCTCTCTCTCTCTCTCTCTCTCCCTTCCTCTCTCTCTCTCTCTCTCTCTCTCTCCTCTCTCTCTCTCTCTCTCTCTCTCTCTCTCTCTCTCTCTCTCTCTCCCTTCCTCTCTCTCTCTCTCTCCTCTCTCTCTCTCTCTCTCTCTCCTCTCTCTCTCTCCTCTCTCTCTCTCTCTCTCTCTCTCTCTCTCCCCCTTCCTCTTTCTCTCTCTCTCCCTTCCTCTCTCTCTCTCTCCCTTCCTCTCTCTCTCTCTCTCCCTTCCTCTCTCTCTCTCTCTCCCTTCCTCTCTCTCTATCTATCTCTATCTCCCTTCCTCTCTCTCTCTCTCTCTCTCCTATTTCCCAATCATCCCCAACCTCTTGCCCTCTTGCCCTTTCCTCTCATACATCACCCTTACCCTCCTTTCTTCGCCCCCCCCCCCCCCCCAGCCTGACGCCTCCCCAGGGGCAGTGCATGATTCTCGTCATGAGGTTCAGCTGCCGTTGGGTGACTCGGGGATTCTAGGTTTACCTTTTCAGTTTATATTTACTTTTTTCACTCGTAGATTTAATTTCATTTATTTCTTCTCTATTTCTAGTAAAAACAAAAAACATCATACATTTTACTTGTGACAAAAAAAAATGTGCTATCTTTTTCGTTCGTTTTGTTTGTGAGATTTTGGAAATGAAATGAATTCGGTATCATTTGTTGAGAGATATTTCAGTGGGAATAAGAGATCACATGGTTTTGATCTTCTGCATATCAACGCATCTTTACATTTATCAAAACAAACACTAACTCTCATACAGAAGCACATTTACACATACATACATACTTCCAAACTTGCTTACTTACAAAACACTTACTCTCATACACATGCACTTCAAATTACTCCAACACTTGAGAAACTTTTTTTCATTTTTTAAAAATGTTCAGTCTTAAGATGCATCTCAAATAAATCAACAGTGATTCGGGGAAGATTAGTCTGGGAGTCCCCGGGAGAGTTTGCAGAGCGGAGAGGCGTGTTGAGAAGGCAGGCGAGAAGGGGACGAACTAGGAGTCATGCTCGTACGCACTTATATGATTACATCGTGTTGCGCACATAG